CACACCCAGCAGGACGCTACAAACTCCACAGCCAGCAGGACACAAACTCCACACCCTGCAGGACGCTACAAACTCCACACCCAGCAGGACGCTACAAACTCCACACCCTGCAGGACGCTACAAACTCCACAGCCTGCAGGACGCTACAAACTCCACACCCTGCAGGACACTACAAACTCCACACCCTGCAGGATACCTACCATCTAACTAGAGACACCACTGTGACATGTTGCTGATATACGATAGCATCTATCCTCCTGTCATATTAACAATGACAGCCTCTTGTGGAATGCAGAATGGTAACAGAGATGTCAGACGAAAGCCTGTTTGGTGATAAGAAAATGTCAACAAGCCAATTTTCTTTCTGGTCTAGACTCCAAAATATGTGGCACGTCTTAATCTTAGGTTTAAATTTCACTCCTATTTTATAATTTGCTTCCACCTCGTCCTGAAACCTTATTAATCTTACACTTTGTACATCAGGCAGAAAAATTCACTCTCTATCAGCAGTTGGAAGCATAGTTCTGATATGACAAATATGCAAAGTATTTCAAACTTCTCAAGTTCACTCATTAGTTGGCTTACATTTGAGAAAGATAACATACTGTCTTATAAAACAAAATAGGCTTCATTCCACAAAATAAGCGATGGAAGCATACAAGTTTAACAAATTGAGCAGCATAGTGAATATGGTTTTAATAATAATCATAAGAGTACGTTTATAGCGCTTGATCCACTTCACTAAGGGGCATGGTCTTAGTGCATAAAGGGCCGCTTTTAGCAATATTCCAGCAAAACCACAGCAGGGGACAAATGGGCTGCACATGTGGGGAATCGAACCTCTTGTGTTCAGCGTGACGAGCGGACGGTTTAACCATTAGACAGCCTACCGCCCCTTTAACAGTTTGACATATGATGATTAGGACTGTTAGTAATAGGACCGCAGCTTTCACAAAACAACAACTTAAGTATCTCTTACTTATGAATACTGACGAGTACCAGGGATCAACTCCATGAGCATCACTCTACAAAACTGGGATACCTGACTACCCGATCCCATTAGTCGCCTCTTATCACAAGCATGGCTTGCTGAAGTGAGTGAGTTTAGTTTTACGCCGCACTCAGCAATATTCCAGCTGTTTGGCTGCGGTCTGTAAATAATCGAGTCTGGATCAAACAATCCAGTGATCAACAGCATGAGCATCAGTCTGGGCAATTGGGAACCGATGACATGTGTCAACCAAGTCAGCGAGTCTGACCATAGGATGCCATTAGTCGCCTCTTACCACAAGCATGGGTTACTGGAGATCAATTCAAACCCTGTTCTTCACAGTAACACTTTAGAGAAATCCACGATATGTGCTGACAACCTAGCATCATCACAGGTAGAGGCTATTTAAAAACTTTACATTTTGATATGACAAGGATCCCTGACTTTCATGTTTATATTCAACACAGTGATAGGCCCACAGGGTTAACCTGACATTTAACTTATCCCATAAACACCACAAACACTAACAGCAGGTCCACATTGAAAGTCTATAACATTACCACAAACATGTGCCCAACTAGGCCAAGACATATATGATCTAAACACAAATGCAGCTGAATATTATAAAACCAAATACTGAGAGTCAGCAGTCTTCTACACATCCCCCTGTGTTGACAAACAGCTCTCAGAACATGGAGACAAAAGGCTCTGTATCGCCAGGCATGGTACTGACTTGCTAAATTCTGTTTGTTTAAACTTCTTGATTGTCAGTATTGTCAACATAATTCTTCAGTTCTGAACTCAAATATAAAATTATGAGAAATAACAGGATATGAAAAGCTGTGGGATTTGTCCATGCGGTTCTGTGTAAAGATGTGTAAATAAACTAGCCGCCGTTATGTTTGTTATTTGAAAATGTGATGCACAAAATAGAACAATTGTAAATTTGGATGAAGTGCGATCACACATCACGGGTCTATAAAAATCTATAAAATGGGTAAAATATATCAAATGCAAAACATTCAAATCTTGAAAAATAACAAAGTTTTAGTTGAGTGACCTTTGGCTGAAATACACAAACACTGACAGAATACCAGCAATCACAGCACATTTTTAGACAGAAATTTTTTATTATAACAACCAGAAAATACATAAACCTGATTTCAATGTTTTCCATGTAATTGTAAAACGTAATGAACGCTACTTAAAGTCTCCAAGATTCAAATAAAACATGTTCATATCTATCTTGTCACGACAGATTATAACAAACATTTAAAGAAAAGAAATAAAAAAGAATTTTGAGATTTTAATCTAAAATACAGTTTTTTAAATGATGCTCAAACACTAAGATCAGAGTTGAAATGATGAAACATATTATTGACACAAACTGAACAAAGTATGATTGATTGATTTTGGAGTTTTCTTCAACATAAAACTTTACAGTTTGAAAGCGAGGTCCAAAAATGTTTTTCATCTGAGAACATGCAGATGGATTCACGTTAGTAGAACCACCACTGGTCTTATCGGAGTCTGCAGCTGCACAATAAATGCATCCCCCTGATTTCTGATCAATATATCACTTGTGCCAAAGATTGTCTCTGCAGTGAGTTTGCACGAAACTAAATACTGATCAATATTTCTGTGCCATGGGGTATTTCAGTCACACTACCTACAGTTTCAACCAGCAGACATGACTGTTTGTTTGTTTGTTGCCTAACGCCGCACTCCGCAATATTCCAGCTTGTGGCAGCCTGTAAATAATCATGTTAGGACCAGACAATCCAGTGATCAACAGCATGAGCATTAATCAATGCAATTGGGATACGATGACGTGTCAACCAAGTCAGCCTGAGCACCCGATCTTGTTTGTCGCCTCTTACAAGCGTGGATGGGTGAAAACTCGGATCGTCTTGGGTCAGATATGACAAAGAGTAAGCCGTTAAAGCCTTGGTTAGAAATTAGGTTTAATTTTTACTTGTCTGCAATTATGATCTCCTACAGATCAATTTCAACTGGGAGCTTCTGACAGCACTAACAGTCTAGAGCAAACATGTAATACATTACAATTTCATGTATTTCGAAACATTTGCTGACAGGATAACTGAAAACTGTTTTGTTCAGTTTAATCCATGAGCTACAACAAAATAAATATTAATTCTTTACAGCCTATGAGCTAAAACCAGAAGTGTTGAAATACTAGTGTTTCCAGGAACACCAAATTATGAAGGTCGTAGACATTTAGCAGATTGTTACAACAATGAGGACACAGCGCTAAGTCTGGTGACAGACCAAGGAGACACCCCTAAAGGGGGTACCCATATCTACTATACCCCCAAACTGCAGCATGTAAGAGAGAGGTGACGTGATAAAGGGTTCTATATATTGCCTGTATACTGACTCTGATCTCTATGAGCCTGAAACGAAGGACTTTAAGGCAAGGCTCGATTTAAGAGATGTTAACCTACTTGCATCAGGTGCAACCTAACATAAAAACCTAGTTGCACCAGCCAAATTCCAATGGCACTGCTTTTATTGCAATATGTTATAAAAGAAATATGCTATTGAATTATTTAGATGTTTTATTTAGAAGTTTACCCACACAAAAGTTGACTTGCACCTGGTGCAAGTTAGACTAATAACTAGGTTGCACTTTGTCATATTTGAATGTACTAGTGCAAGTAACAAAGCGCTAAATCGAGCCCTGTAAGAGGGTACCCATATCTAATATACACCCAAACTGTTGTAGTTTAAGGAAAGGTGACGTGAAAAAGGGTTATAAAATTATTGCCTTTATACTGACTCTGATCTGTCTGCTTAATGGCTGGCGAATGAAACCCCCGATCCTCTGCTCTGCGCGCGCAGGCGTTCTACCCACTAGACCATGGATCCTCCACTCTAGCATGCTTGGTTGCAGTACATTTACAGATTGATATTTGGGACAAAAGTTAAGCACAAGATCAATACTCTGCTGTGTTCACTCGGGGCCTGAGGTTTTGTGTGTAGTCAGGATTGTTCCAAGAGATCTATAATCAGCTGTGACTTATCTTTACAAGTAATTTATTTACTGTACAATCCTATTTACTACAATAACATGGATCTGGAGGCACTGTGGCATTACTAAAATCTGCTGTGGTTTTGTTGTTTTGTTTTATTCATTCTCTTCCATGATACACTGTTTCTGAACAACTGCAAAGTTTTTATGCATCAAGGATTTATCTACACCTGCTCCAAGGCTGAAGGGGCGGTGGGGTAGCCTAGTGGTTAAAGCGTTCGCTCGTCACACCGAAGACCCGGGTTCGATTCCCCACATGGGTACAATGTGTGAAACCCATTTCTGGTGTCCCCAACTGTGATGTTGCTGGAATATTGCTAAAAGCGGCGTAAAACCAAACTCACTCACTCACTCACTCCAAGGCTGATATCAAATTAAAAAAACTTTAGTTTAATTATGAATAAAAAAACATTCCCAATTCCTTCGAATTTATGAAAATTAAGAACAGAAAAAAAATCTGCATAATATTACGATTTGTTGCCACTTTGCCTGCCATGGCACTTGGTGTTAAATCCTTGAAAAATCTGTGTGTGACATTTTGTTTATCATCTTGTATTATATCCTGATCTTACTCACAAGATATGTAATGTACCACAAAAACGACAGTCGTTTCAACCCTAGCTTCCTCAACATTTTAGAACAGGGAACAGGGCCACATGACACGCTCAAAGACATATAAATCAAGCACATCGTTTGATGGATATTATTAATAGAATTAATCAAGACAAATCTTAAAAGATAACTGCATTTGCACAGTGCATGACAGTAACTCTCATTTGAATCATTGCCTGAAATACTTGAAACATTGGGCAACATAATGAATTTGACAGATTTTTTAGCAAAAATAGTATGTCACAAAAACCATTGCTGGACATGTTCATTTTTTGGGATGTCATGAGTCTGTGCGAACTACAGTAATCAACTTCATAAGATTTTTCAACAAAAAGAGTTACCTACCCTTTCCTGACACCAGGTGACTCTGAATCTTCCCTCTCACACTGAAAAGGACTATCATTCTGGTAGCGTAGTACAGGTTCTGGAGCTGTGTCGACACGTGACATTCTGGATGTCTTCCCAGCATTCCCTGCCTGGCGAGTCGGACTCTCTGTTCTACGCGGACTGTACATAGCTTGTTGATTGGATACACTTGCGTTTGGCCCATAAATATAGAGCCCACCTGATTGGTCCTCTGGTTTTGGACTTTGACCACAGCCGTTCTGTGGGAACCTGTTATCGTACAACGTGCCAGCAGTTGAAGAAGGAACTATTTCGCTCATAGGGCGTGGAGGCTTACGTTTAGGACTTTCTGATATGCCATTTGACTGAGTTCTAGAGGTAGACTGGATCTGGTTGTCATCGAAACTTCTCCACACCGGAACAGAGGCTCGATGGCGGGGACTTCCACCTTGGTTCCCTGGGTTGTACTCCTGATTACGTGGGACTGATGGTAGCGGGCGATTAGCCATAGAATTCCTCTGCTGCTGGTAGCGGGCCTGAAAACAACATTTACAAATTGTGAAAATCGTGAAAAATAGTGGAAGCAGGACAAATTAGGTGCCAAACGGAAACGGTGGTGAAACCTCACATTGATGCAGTTTTCTGCTTCTGTCAGCAATATTACAGCTATATCACAGCACTGTGACAGGCTCTCTGGATCTGGATAAGGCAGACCAATGTTCGAACTTGATTCGTGAATTCAGACACGAGAGTTAGACCTCCCTCATGACCATCCATACATCATATGGGCAGACATAGTGGCCACCCAATCCCTATTTTAGTCGCACCTTTTCGACAAGGATGAGGAACTGGGGCCTTGTTCTGCCACACAATATGCTGTGGGGAATATCATGCAACTAAGCTGTTATACTCCCAGCACAAGTCAAGTACTTCACAATCGAACTGCACACAATGGAGCCGAGTAATTTTGTCATCTGTCCATCTTGACCACCATATTTATATCAGTCATATATTCATTATATCGAGCTCTTGTATCATCGCCAAATGTTTCCCTTGAGAACAAAGAGTCTGAACAATCAGCAGTGTTGATTTTTCATTTTACATATGTTTGTTGTCAGGCAAGTTACTGTGTGATCTGGCTAATTGGGTGTCTATCATTACACCCTTGCTTCCTGTCCAAAGCCCACGTCCAGTTAGGTTTCATTTGGACTTGACAGCACAGTTTGTGACAGACTATCCTTCAGGCTATCCAGGTCTGGCTACCGAAAATTGATGTCATATGGTGCCATTGTCAAATACAGATAGTCAGAAGATGAAGAGATATATCTTGATGTATCGCTGGTGTTTTGAGGGTATGGGTGCATCCAGGAAGACATGTTTACAGAAAATACTTTTCAAATCTTTTTCACTGGATTAAATCCTTCAATCTAAGCAGCTTCTTTCTCTATTTTACCACCATCTCTAGACTAAAATCCACTAAAACAGATTCAGAAAAACAAGTTCAGAGTAGTAGAGTCAACAGTTTTTGTCACTGACTACCTTAACTGTCTCGACTGATACTCATCTTATTAACTTCTGGAGCAGATTTGATCTCATACTAGTTGTATGACATTAGTCTTTGATTAAGACTGACTTAATTCACTACTCTGAACCCTAAATCTAGAGAAGTCAAATTTAGTCCAGAAAGACCAACTGTCAACAATCCATAAAGTCTCCAAAAATGATGGTTAGATGCATGTTGGGATAGTAGACACTTAAACAATTTAAACACATGCTGGATAGGAAAATAATCACTCATCGATAAAAGAAACTGTATATGGATGAGATGATGGGAACATACCCTTCTTGTGTCAGACCACTGAACACCATAACACAAAAAGACCCCGTCTGAATAAACAAACGGAACACATTAAGCACAGATGTGACGCCAGCATATCCGAATCTGCAGGAAGAATAACCTTTCAGCGCCGACACAAAGCACCATTTGATTGTAATCCAAGACAATGGGAACGTAGAATACAGGTGTAAACAACACACTTGCACATGGATCAGTGACAGCCATTATCAGTCATACATGGTGCCAATCATGCAGAAGTACTGCCGGCCAGGACTCCTCCTTCAACACTGCATAAAGTCATAAACTCCACCATTATGAACACAATCAACATCAAATTATGCAATCGATCTGTTTGCAATGTAACAAGCATGTGTCTCCGAATAAGTCACAGCTAATAAACGCAACCAGCCCATTAAGCTTTGCATGTAAATACCTCCATTAGATAACTTATTCGTGAGAGGCAGTGAAAATCTCACCACCTAGACTGAAAGTGAAAGATTGGATGTCCAGAATCCTCCAATATTTGTCCAGTCTAGGAGACAGATTAAATGATCCTCTAGACACACCAATATCAATGTCAGAATGATCTGTAGGCACCATAACTCAAATGTTACACACAATTTAAGTCTGTATTCATAAAACCATCCCCAGGACATCAATTGAACATCATAGTAGGGTAATTTCAGAAGCCAATATCTATATAGTCAGGAAGCATTTTTTTTATGACTTCGAACACAGACTTATATTGGTGAGCAGATAACAAATTGTTTGTTTTTTTCACTGGAGAAGAAATAATGCCAATAGCAATTGTTTCCTCTTCCATTCAAGCTCTGAACTGTTTGCAAAGGCAGCTCTGTGAAACTTATCATGGTCCTTAACTTAAAAAAAAGAACTGATCATTAGCCTGCCTCTTCCTTCAATCAACCCGTGAAGATCCAGGTTAGAATTGATCTTCAGTAATCCATGCTTGTTGTAAGAGGCGACTAACAGGATTAGGTGGTCAGGCTCGCTGACTTGGGTGACATGTGATCACATCCTAATTACGTAGATCGATGCTCGTGATGTTGATCACTGGACTGTCTGGTTCCGACTCTGATTATTCACAGACCGCTGCCATATAGCTGGAATATTGCCGAGTGCAGTGTAAAACTAAACTCACTCACTCACTCCCATCAATCAAAACTTTTCAAAAGGCTGAGAGAGCAAGAAACAGTATGACATAACTAAAACATAGACATTTCAATAAGATATACTCCATCAGAAAACCCAGATGCTTACCCTTCACACTCACTCACTTCCAGTTCTTATCCAGGGAATCAAATGAAACTGGTGTTCACAGGTTTCTCTAAACTGGCTACCAAAAGGGTGAATTCAGTGTTCACAGGTTCTTCTCTAATGGTTCACATCCGACAGATAGAATCAGAGTTTACATGTTGTTTGAATTGGATCACATCACAAAGATCGAATCAGCCATCTCCACTTACATGAAAATATAATCCATCACGTTATAAATCCATTTTGAACTTCAATGAAAATGTTTCTCTACAGTATTGTCACTTAATTTACACTATCAATGTACGCAATCTTCTTCAAAAAGAACATTAAAATCAGATCCTCACAAACACCTCCGCGTAATGGCCATGTATGTCCTTAAACACAAACTCAAAAAGCTACAAAAACTTTTTCACCAAATTGTCTATTCATTGTGCATGCCTGGGGATTTGAATCCTAACAGACAACTCCCAGTGGACAAGCTATGGCTACCATCATCCCCACTATCATCAGAATCCATCGCTGAAAATCGACGAAATGCATCTCATAGAATTCCACAGAGCGTTTCCATCATGATGAGTGAATAAATAAAAGTGTTAGATATACCACATAAATCAAAGAATGCATTGGTCAATATCATGCACAAAAGCATTCCAAGTTATCGAGACTATCTCCAAGACTGAAATATTCCCGAATTATCCCGAACAATTGGCCTGCTTCAACGATGGTCGTACATCAGACTGCAGTCTCTGGACATGTACAATTATTCTCCCTCATAGTTACGCCAATCTCCCGAGTTATGAATACTGACATCTTTATACACAACTGCTGCCTTATTAAGGTATATTCAACTTCCCAAAGCATGATCTGTTCCAGCCATGAATGCCCCAGTCTCTCAGTCCTGCTGATGATGTAAGCATCTAGCTAGCAGGGAGGGTCCTATAATCTGAGTTGCTGCCAATACTTCATTACAAGATTTCATGCAAATACAAGACCTCCGTGATCTCTGATGAACTTAATCAAGCTCACGATCCAGTCTTAAGATCGTGTAATCTGGACGTAATCTGTTATATTGAATTATTTTGCAAATGACAGACTCTGACATTAAAGATTATTATTAATGTTCGACAATTGTCTGTGGCACGAAAGGGAGTGATATAAAGCTTAAAGGTAGTCAGGGCACTCAACAGTTACAAGAGAAGGAGTGGATAAGATGTTGAGTAAGGCGTGGATGGTTGAGTGAATGGTTGAGTGAGATATTGAACAGATGATTGAGTGAAGGGTTGAGTGAGTGATTGAGTGGATGGTTGAGTGAAGGGTTGAGTGGATGGTTGAATGAGGGATTGAACGAATGGTTGAGTGGATGGTTGAATGAGGGATTGAACGAATGGTTGAGTGGATGGTTGAGTGAAGGGTTGAATGAGTGATTGAACAGATGGTTGAATGAGGGATTGAACAAATGGTTGAGTGAGGGGTTGAGTGAATGGTTATGTGAGTGATTGAACGAATGGTTGAGTGAATGGTTGAGTGATTGAACGAATGGTTGAGTGAATGATTGAGTGGATGGTTGAATGAAGGGTTGAGTGGATGGTTGAATGAGCGATTGAATAAGTGAATGAGTGAATGGTTGAGTGAGGGGGTGAGTGAATGATTGAGTAAGTGGTTGAGTGGATGGTTGAATGAGGGATTGAACGAAGGGTTGAGTGGATAGTTGAATGAGGTATTGAACGAATGGTTGAGTGGATGGTTGAATGAGGGATTGAACGAATGGTTGAGTGAGGGTTGAGAGTGATTGAACGAATGGTTGAGTGAATGGTTGAGTGAATGATTGAGTGGATGTTTGAGTGAAGGGTTGAGTGGATGGTTGAATGAAGGATTGCATAAGTGATTTAGTGAATGGTTGAGTGAGGGGTGGAGTGAGGGGATGAGTGAATGGTTGAGTGGATGGTTGAAAGAGGGATTGAATAAGTGATTGAGTGGATGGTAGATGAGGGGTGGAGTGAGGGAATAAGTGAATGATTGAGTAAGTGATTGAGTGAAAGAATGGTTGAGTGGATGGTTGAATGAGGGATTGAATAGATGGTTGAATAGATGGTTGAGTGAAGGGTTAAGTGGATGGTTGAGTGAGGGGTGGAGTGAGGAGATGAGTGAATGATTAAGTAGTTGAGTGAAAGATTGAGTGAGAGGAGTGAATGATTGAGTGAGTAGCTGAGTGAGTGGTTGAGTGAATGGATGAGTGAAGGGTTAAGTGGATGGTTGAGTGAAGGGTTGAGTGGATGATTGAATGAGGGATTGAGTGGATGGTTGAATGAATGGTTGAGTGGATGGTTGCCTGAGGGGTGGAGTGAGGGGATGAGTGAATGGTTGAGTAAGTGGTTGAGTGAAAGATTGAGTGAGAGGAGTGAATGAGTGAGTAATTGAGTGAGT